CTTCCAGTAAAATATCAAATAAGGGCAGACATTTTTGTTTATCTCCTGATCTTAGGGGGAAACAATTCAGTAGTCAACCGTTACATGTTATGTTAACTGTGGGTTTTTCATAATACTCCTCTTCAAGTTGAGAATGTTTCCTTCTATTCCTAGTTTGTTGAGAGTTTTTCCTGGGGATATACCCAAAGAATTATAAGTCATGCTGCTATAAAGACACATGCACACGTATGTTTATTGCAGCACGATTCACAATAGCAAAGACTTGGAATCAACCCAAATATCCATCAGTGACAGACTGGATTAAGAAAATATGGCCCATATACACCATGGAATACTATGCAGCCATAAAAAAGGATGAGTTCGTGTCCTTTGTAGGGACATGGATGCAGTTGGAAACCATCATTCTAAGCAAACTATTGCAAGAACAGAAAACCAAATACCGCATGTTCTCACTCATAGGTGGGAATTGGGCAATGAGATCACTTGGACACAGGAAGGGGAACATCACACACCGGGTCCTATTGTGGGGAGGCGGGGGGAGGGATAGCATTAGGAGATATACCTAATGTAAATGATGAGTTAATGGGTGCAGCACACCAACAAGGCACATGTATACATATGTAACAAACCTGCACGTTGTGCACATGTACCCTAGAACTTAAAGTACAACAACACACACACAAAAAAAAGGATATTGGATTTTGTCAAGTGCTTTTTCTGCATCTACTGAGATAATCATATGTTTTTTCCCTTCTTTTGTTTATTAATATGGCAAATTACATTGCTTGATTTTCAAATGTTAAGCCGACTTTGCCTTGCTGGGATAAACCCCACTTGATCATGGGTGCATCCTCCTTTTTCTATATTGTTAGATTTGATTTGCTAAAATTTTAGCATAGATGTTTATAAGGGATACTGATCTGTAGTTTTCTCATAACATCTTTTTCCTCTTTTGTTATCAGGGTAATGCTAGTAATAAACTTAGCTAAAATGAAAAGGGAAATATTTCTTCCTTTACAATTTTCTGGAACAGTTTGTTTAGAATTGGTATTATTTCTTCTTAAAATATTTTGTAGAATTTACCAATAAAGTCATCTGACACTGAAGTTATATTTGTAGAAAGGTTTTTAGCCACAAAGTCATTTTTTAAATAGAGAGTTATTCATAGTGCCTGTTCTTCCTAAGTGAGGTTATGTGTTTTGTGTCATTCAAAAAATTTTCCATTTCATCTAAGTTGTCAGATTTATTGGCAAAAAGTTGTTGTTCATAATATTACCTTAGTATTCTTGTAATATTTGGAGAATCTGTAGTTATGTCACCCCTGTCATTCTTCATACTGGTAATTTGTGTCTTCTTTCTTCTTTTCCTTATTAGCCTGGCTAAAAATATATCAATTTTATTGATTATCTCTAAGAACTTCAGATGTTGTCTAAGAACTTTCAACTCTAAGCTTTTGGCTTAATTTGTTTTCTCGATTGTTTGTTTCTTTTCTATTTCTTTAAATTTCTGCTCTGATTTTTATTATTTTCTTTCTTCTACTTTGGGTTTAATTTATTTATCTCTTTCTAGTTTCTTTTATTTTATTATACTAGGGTTATAAGTATAATAACTAGGTTTAAGTTCTAGGGTACATGTGCACAACGTGCAGGTTTGTTATATATGTATACATGTGCCATGTTGGTGTGCTGCACTCATTAACTCGTCATTTACATTAGGTATTCCTCCTAATGCTATCCCTCTCTGCTCCCCCAACCCCACGACAGGCCCCAGTGTGTGATGTTCCCCACTCTGTGTACAAGTGTTTTCATTGTTCAACTCCCATTTATGAATGAGAATATGTGGTGTTTGGTTTTCTGTCCTTGTGATAGTTTGCTCAGAATGATGGTTTCCAGCTTCATCCATGTCCCTACAAAGGACATCAACTATCCTTTTTCATGGCTGCATAGTATTCCATGCTGTATATGTGCCACATTTTCTTAATCCAGTATATCATTGATGGACATTTGGGTTGGTTCCAAGTCTTTGCTATTGTGAATAGTGCCACAATAAACATACATGTGCAT